GATGTAGGAGGTAAGGGGACAGAGCTAAGCAGCAAAAGTATGATGCATAAAGGGGGTAAAGAAATGTACTTGTCCGCATACAGTTCTCAAATCCAACAAGTCTGCCCTCAGACCCCACTCGTATGCTGGGAGAAACCCACTTGGAAAGACAGAAGTAGGATGTATATGAAGGGTGGGTATGGGGGGAAGGATTGTATGTATTCACAAAAACTCCTTCCACTAAAGAATTTCTAAGTATTTCGTAACACCTGAAACAATTCCAGGTAAAGCCACTGAGATTTGATCCTTGCCTACATATAGCTATTGCTTAAATAAGAAGAAACTTAAAAAAACCCCAAACAACCAAGCCCTCAAAAATATAATGCATAAAAGTGTGTAAGAAATTGTGCTATGCACGCATTTCTTACCTGTTTTTTCATACAACAATTTTGCTAGAGCCCACACCAGAATCTATTCAAATGAAACAGGGCTGGATAAAGAGAGAACGCAAATAACTTCATTTTTGTCCCTGGTATTCAGAGAAGCAGGTGCAGGCAGAGGGAAATGTCTGGATTCCAGTGGGAACCGAGGGGGTCGGCCCATCTCGGGACGGACCTCCAGGTGAGATGGTGGCCTCACTGGAAGCAGCAGCAAAGCTCTCAGCTGTTTCTCTGGAGGCAAGCTTTGGTCCGTGCTACCTCTCGCAGCCTCAACAAATGCTAACGCTCAAAGCTCTGCGTGGTGCTGAAGAACGGTCTCAATTTTCTTCTATGGGTTCGTTGTTGTGTATTTTTGCATAGAACTATTTTATTTCATTCACAGACACACATGAGCTTTAAAAAGTTGAGTAACAGCGCTGTGGTGAACTAAGGATGTTTCACTGGCTTTAAAGATTTCGGTAAGGCTGTCAGCTGGAGGAGGGCTGTCCAACCAGGCTGTCTTTTTCAGAAATGTTTAAACCAAGAGTTTGCTCTCTGACTCCCTGTGGAAAACGGTTCTGCACCTCAATGCCCTGCATAAACTTTCTGCCAGTTAGCCCTCTATTCAGGGCAGATTTGCACCTGGTTTATGGTGCTGATGTTTCTGTTATCCTCACGATGTCTTCACAACCATGTCCCTGGCAGGCATTTGTTTTTCAGCCCCTTCTGATGCCTAGCATAGTTAATTTCTTTAGGGTATGTGTTTTTTAAAGAAGTTCCTTGGTTATTCTGGTGGCAATGAGATGCAAACCAGAGCTAGAGTTCTTGAGGAGACTTTGCTTCTGTCTTGTGCGTTCTGCGTTACGTGAATCTAGCCACCATGCGGGTCCCACTGACAAACTGCTGCAGACGGAGGCAAAGCGGTGCTGGTGGTGCTCTTAACTGGTTGGGGAATTACCATCCCTGAACACGCTCGTTCAGTGGGCTCCTTTGAATAGTTTTCTCCTTTGCATCATGTTTTTACTCCTCCATCCTGCTACTAGGCAAGGTAGCTTGAAACCAGCTTGTTTTCACAGTAGTTTTGACTGCTTCTGCCCTCCCTGTAGCACGACTGTGAGCCTGATGTTACCTGCCATCCGCTCAGCCGTGAAACCTTGCTCAGCTTGCACAAAGCCTCCCAAACAAAGTACCTCTTCCCTCCCCCATGGGTCTCCGGGGAAGGGGATTTTTGCAAGCTCTCCCTAGCAGGTTAGACACAAAGCAATCCTGGCTCCTGGCCTAGAAGAGGCTGCCAGATGTTTTCTTCATGTCAGCATTGCTTATCGCTCCAAGGGAAGAACCGAGCATGTGCCTCCCTCCTTTCTTCAAGCTGCAATTAGCAGGGAGACAAAGCGGCTCTGACCAGGCTGGCATCGCAAGTCTCCTTGACCCAGGAGAATAGAGACAGCCTGGCACATCTCCTCAAACCAGCTGCTGCACGAACCCTGCCCAACCTTCCCCCTGAATATTTCTCAGTCGCGAGCTTCAGAAGGGAAATTCAGGAGCCCAGCCACTTGCCGCTGGCAGCTCAGGGCATGTCATGACACACTCCTTACTCTCTTTGAAGGAGGTTTGCTTCAGTGTGATGTATGAGACGCTCCATCATCAAGTCACCTGGAGACAAGATAGCACAAAATTCCTCACTTGAAACCAGACACTCTCAGTGAACCGATTTCATTGCTTCCATACTTAAGATATATTTTTTACCTCTTGAACAAACAGCTTAAGGCTTACCTGCAGACAGGAAGCAATTTTTCTGATGCCTTGTCAGTTGAGGCAAAAGGTAAAGAAATATGATGAAGTTACAAATACTGTGGACTAGATTTTTAGTCTTTCCGTGTTATTTACTCTGTAAGTGGTTCCAATGAAATAATCTAGACAACTCTATAGTCTAGACCTGCCAAAGTATCCCCAACATCTTATTTCCAAAACATTAGTTTGAGTAATAAAAAGTAATAAATAAAGTATATAATAAATAAATAAAAGTAATAAAAAGAATTTTTTTCCATCTAAGAAAATAGATGCTAAAAAATGCTAAGAAATTAGTTTAAGAAATAGCTGAGAAATTTTAAATACAGATTATGTACATATAACTATCCTGTAAAACATTTATACGTAATATACACACATATACACATACTTACTCCTACCATGCTTTTAAATGCTTCTGTAAAGATTTAACGAGTATATAGTTCTCAATACATCTGAGTTATCACTTTCCACTAGATTTGACTGGAAAATGGATTCTCAAATGAATAACTATACTTTTGGGGTATCAGCTAATATTCTCTCACTCACATGGCATTTTGCTTTTTTCCTACCTACAAGGGCTTGCAGAATGCTGGGGGTTATAGCACAGGTGAGTAACACACGAGCTGTCTGCACTGGTGTTTTCAGGAGGAATTGTTTCTTCCAAGGCACACAGACGACAGCCTGCTAGTGCTTACACGAATTGTGACTTCCTTTTCCATGTGTATTTTTAATAAAAAAATATTATAAATAGTGTTGTTAAAATAACTAATTAGATGGAAATGCTTAGGTGTTTCTCTTCCAGACCTGAAAAAGTTGCAATTTCTATACTGATAGAACCTATGAATATGCTAGCAAACCTTTTCTAGTGCATAACTTGTGTTCACATGCTATATTACTATTAACATAACATACTTCTGTTTCAAAATAGTTTTGAATTTCTCCTAGTATGATTCTACATTAGGAAATTAACATTTAAAAAAGGTGCATGGAAACGTGCAATCGTGTGTGTATGTGTGTATATATGAAGGTACATATTTAGAACTATAAATCACATATAAAAATTTGCCTTACCAAACTTGTTCTCAAATTGAATTTTCTTGTCTCATGTCATGCTTGAGACCAAGATTCAGTTGCCTATTTTGTATTACAAAGGTAAGGATACATTTTTAAGGAAAAGTAATTGTCTGCAACACCTTTATCGGTCTCCTCTAAAGTCACGTTCCTGAAGAGTATTACCTAATAATTTTGGTTTGATAAAAGTTAAGTAAAGTACTTTGAGGGGGTGGAGGGGGAAACATTGGGAACTGAGCTGTCAATAACTGACCTCTGAAAAATATCACTAAGGAAGCATTTTCAGACTGAAATTGAAGTCTAAATTTCCTTGTTTTGACTTATGCTCTGTTTATTCAGGCAATACTGCACGCTACGGCCCAACAGCTAACACAGGAATGCCCTTCCCTGCCAGTTTGAAGTGTGTTGAGAAGCGCACATCTCTGATACCCGCTAAAGCCTAGCGGTAGTATCTCTGTTTGTGGATTTGCCAGCGTCCATCAACATAGTAAGTAAACTTAAATGTTTATAGCTTTTGGCTAGCAGAACAAAAGCATTTCTGTAGTTGTTTTTTACAGGCTGAACAGTTTGCAATCCCAGGACTAGAGGATGCTAAGGGGACTGATTCGTCACTACCACCATATGTGGGGAAGAAAGATTAACTACAAATCAGGTTCTCTACTAAGATGGATGTGTTAAAATTAAGACACTTGAGAGCCTCATCTGATCACATCCCTTCAACAACAGGTATTAAAAATTATGTACATTAAAGCAAGACTAAGGGTGTTTTCTTTAAATCATTTTATGATGCTGTCAATGCAAAGAAGAATCATTAGTAAAGGGACAACTGAAACAATTCAAAACAAATATATTTGAAATGCAAAATCCAATTCAGTCAAAAAGTATACATTAACAGAAGTAAACAAAACTGAAAGTTGTGAATATAAAAAAAATTCCTTTTTCTCCCCTTTTAAATTAAATATACTGAAAACAACTTCGATGATAGATAAAAAGTTTCTCTGCTCAAAACCAGTAAAGTACTCAAGTGAAGTTTCAAGTACTTCTCATAACAACGATGCAGTTTTTGATGGTTCAGCTAACATTAATCTTCTGTTAGAGGCACGTGTATGAGGGTAGGGCAGCATGAGTATTTTGCAGTTTTAAAATACAACTCTTAAGCTGTTTCTCAGGCAAGATAAACAATGATTTCTTATAAAATGTCACAAGTTAAGGAGTGGTTTTGGAAACCTAGAACTGCTATGTATACTTTATGTATTGATAGTGGTCACTGCACCACCACTAACAGGGCATTGTAAAAACATTGTATTCCATAACGTTGCTACTTTTTTAAAATTTTATTTAGCAGGAGTGAAGAAGTGGGACTTAAGTTACTGTGCACTTTATGCAAGATAACATGCAGTTTTGGAACTGGAATCTACTTTTTAAAAATTTTATTTAGCAGGAGTGAAGTGGGACTTAAGTTACTGTGCACTTTATGCAAGATAACATGCAGTTTTGGAACTGGAATATAGCACTTCATCTTCCTATTTTACTGACTCCCTCTGTCAACACTGCAATTACGCAGTAGCAGGGTGCCGTACATTAAGATCACAGCACCACAAAGCCTAGTGTCTTGTAGACAGATGAAACAACTAGTAGAACATACCTGAACATCTCTCCCCTGAAGTTTCAGACTGCAGTAGAGCAGTTTACCTAGCTTCTGTAATGTTAATCGGCACTTAATGTATGCCCCAAAAAGTACACTCAAAGCACTCATTTTATTTATCTCAAGTTGAAACTGTTTACAGAAGGAGCATTCTTTCACATAATATTTTCAGATTGTGAAGGTTTAGTATTTATGTAGCCTCTATAGGTTTGATAATTTCAAACAATCATTAATATATTAGGAGAGCATTAAATGTTCATTACGAGACTTTTTTCCTTTAGACTTATCTCACTTGAAATAAAAGCCTAAGTAAAGAAAGACAACTTACACATTTCACTGTTCCCCGTTACCTCACAGAATTCCACTCCCATACTCCCCATAAGACAGTGTACTGCCATCTGCAACTTGAGAACCACAAAAATATGAGAAATTTGGTATCTGATCTTTCCATTGCAGTACAGCTTGTACTACTTGCAGCTAATTCAGATTCTGCCTGTGTGAGTGAAAGCAGCACAACAGCCCTAAAAGCAGCTCACTGTTGTTTGTGGATTGGTGCCCCTTACCCCACCTTAATTAGAAAAACTCAGCAATGAGGTACTGCAGTAGTTGGCAAATTCCACAGTGATACATAAAGATTATAGCAGCAACTTGTGTAAGAACAGTGAACTGTATTTGACTGGTATTCTTCAATTAGAAAAATCCAGTCATACATTGTAATTCACAATTTAAATACCGAATGGAATCATTTAATGGCATATCGGGGATGAAGTCCCACAGTTTATGAATCAATGCGTTCACACCAGGATTCCTCGCTCAGCACCGAGCTGCCTCCGCAGTCAGTCCCAGCGGCTGATTCTTTCCTGCTCGGGGATCAGGCTCCAGTTGGGCGAAGGCTTGTCGGTCGCCAGCCAGTCAAAGTCATCCACCAGGTTCCAGTTGTTTCTGTTTCTGTCTAGCCCAGAAGACTCGAAATCTCTCTCGATACCAGGGTAGCTCCAGGCGTAGGGGGCGAAGGAGATCTTAGTGCAGTCCTCGATTACGGCCCGGCTGGTCACCTGCACGTAGAAGCGACAGTCGCGGGTGCGATGACTGCGGAGCTGCTGGCAGGCCAGCACCAGGAGGCAATCGCTGCAGCCATCCACCAGCGCGGAGGTGGAAACGGGCCCGCAGAGCACGGTGCAGCCCCGGCAGTCCCGCATCCGCAGCGTGTTGGCGTTGCCGCGGAGCCGCACCCGGCAGCCGCGCAGCTCGGAGAGCACCACGTCGCGCTGCAGCAGCTCGGCGGGGCCGAGCTCCAGCTCCTCGTCCTCCGCGCCGCTGAACCCGCACAGCGGCGGCCCGCCC